TAATGTTGATATCACGTCTCTTAGAAGTTATTACATTACTAGTAGTGTTATTAAATTATTAGAGTGGTATATTTAATTAATTTTTACTCTTATTTACTTAGCATTTGTACTCACCCTAAAAGACTTGTAAATTACGTCCTAGATATCATTATCAATCATTGGTTTATAACAATGTACACTTTGAATGGTTTATTTATTTGAGAGATATGACGCCTTACATAGCCATTTTTCTCAGCAGTTTGCTTCGTATAATCAATCATCAATCAATTCTATGGAAGAGAAAAGAAGTATGATAAGAGGTAATACAAGAATCATTAGAAATAATGATCTGAACAGGCTTATATATATATTTTTATTTTATTTTAACGACTAACTAGACATCCCGTACTCCAGTTTATTTAAAATTATTATAGAATTAGAGGTGCCCGTAACTTCGTAGTCGTGTATAATTTTAAATCGTTTATTTATGAAATTGACAATACGATAACAATATAAGGCATGTATTACTTTATTATATTTCGTAAATTATTTTACAAAAAAAATAGAGCATGGCGTATTAAAATTATTCACAAAATTAATTAATTCCCTTTAGGGATTATTTTCTCAACTGTGTTGCACGATGTTTAACAAGATATTCTGTGATAAATTCACCGTAATTTCTCCAGTAGTTTTTACCTGAAACCTTAATACACGTAGGCAGTTTATGCCTCGTCACAATTTTAGATTTTTTATATGTATAAAGATAAAGAAGATACCTCTGTTCATTAGCAATTGGATCTTAATGGATTGTTGCGGATGTTAAGTAAATGTTTAGCATTGTGAAAGGAACCATATGTTGATATAATGTTACACTGATACCTTCTATTCGATTACAATCTATAATAACCTTGTATGTTTAACACTTAATGTTAGTGCATTAAGTGTTATAGAAGTATCATAAATTATGGTGTTATGTTGCAATAACATGTCATGGTTCGTTCAAATTGTTGCATCAAGCAATTTCCGAGTAACTAGGGGACGTTGCACAATACAAGATTTAATGTTTCATGCATTCTGACATTATTGTGTCAAAATTGTCGTATAACACAGATGGATTGTGCATTACGGAAGCATTATTTTTACATTGAGTTTACTGTTACGAAATTGTTTTAATCTTTAATCTTTAGTAGTAGTGTTTTTATATTATTTCATACACAATTGTTCCTATCGTATTCTTAAAAAATAATCATCTATATTCATTGTCGTATAACCACAAAATGTTTCGTAATTTTTAACAAAGATATAATATGAACCCAAAGCAAGTTCCATAAGTGTGCTTCTTGCAAACCTTCAAGTGATAAAATATGTTAATTAATTAACAATTAACACATTTAATGATTGTACTTCAGTGCGCTTTAAATGATAATAATAATTACTTGTGACAAATGAGACATAACAATGAATATAAATGTGAACTGCACTTTTTTTAAATTTATTTCTGTCTAAAGGTTACATTATTACATAGTTATACATATGTTATGTAGAGCAATAGTTCTATTTTGCTTTACTAATAAGTACTTAAGTAAATTAAAAATTAAGTAAGTACATACATAAAATAGTTAGTATGTCAGCTTTAAAGCGTTTAGAGCTCTTGCTAATAAGACTAGAACAAAACTGAATTAAGACCATAGTAGCTATGATGAATAAGAAAATTTCTTTTATTTATTTTATATTGTCTATAAAATATTCGGTCAGGTAAGATGTAGATACAGTTATGTTAATGCCATATTAATTTAAAAAACTAATTTGAAATTAAACTGTAAAGCATTAAAGTTCATTATCTATTATGTACTCATAACTGCATTCTGCTGAAGTGACCATCCATATCAAGCGATTTCTCTAAGAAATGCTACGTACACCGTGCAGTAATCAATTAAGTATTCATTAAACTTTCAAAGTGAATTAAATGTTTTTATAGATGACAACGAGACAGTGAAATCCGGTGAATAATTAAGTAAATTATATATTTTTTCTATTTCTTTATCTGTTTGCATCTTCCTATAATATTTTGATATCAGTAACAAAACTTAGGTATATAATAAATATTTCAATATATTTAATCGGTACCTGGTGTATAGTTTTTATTATTATTTTGTCATCAATTTGATATGATACGTATTCTTTAGGCTCAGCTCTATTATATAGACTACATTTTTCATAACAAAAGATATATGATATAAATGAGTTACATAACATACAATAATTTTTACTTAGCATTAGATAAAAAACAAATGCAAAACAACAACGATAACCAAAATTATTTGAATTCTTATGCGATATTTCAATGAATAGGAATATTAATGCATATTACACACGAGATGTTGAACACTTCATTCGTAATAATACAATACTATAGGGCATGTGTTATATTTGTAAAGAAGGGGAGACTACCCGCATGGCACATAGTTCATAATTTCATTGTTCAATTAAACATGCCAAGAGAGCATGGCGATTGTATTCATAACTTGTTTCATTCAAATTATTGTTACCAACTTGCGTATTATGACGAAATATACTACAATGTTTTAAATTCTTAATGTCGAATATCAGTTTTATAATTAATTAGTAAGTAATGGTAATAATTTTATCGTAAATTATATGGTACTAACATTAAACTTACTTTTATATTATACTATGTAGGGCGGTAAAGACTTGGAACACTTTTCGTATTTGAAAGAAAAAAAATTAAAGTTGAGCTAATATTTATAGATTATTAGATTTACAGCAAATAAAACTTGATAGTTAACAAAAAAATATAATTTATTGGTAACAATAAAAACTACTAAAACAATGTTTGAACTAGACCGAGCACTTAATATATGAAAGAACATTTTGTAGTGTAACTCAAAAACACACATGAAAGCTTTCACGTGACGTGTTGGCTTAGGCCAGAGTGGAAGAGAGGTGTTTATGGTACTTTGATGAAAATACATAATGGCCTCTATTATGTTTAAGATTTTCTTTGTGCTGCAGTACATTATGAAAAGCCAGACATAGATCACGATGCCACATGGTTTACAAACGTCCATTGTACGATGAGAAAGTGAAACCGTGATCTTTGCAGCCTTGACCGCGCGATTGCGTCACAAATGAAATCTGAAGATAGCATCCGATTAGCATTTCTACTTTTACTCGAACTTTCGGTTCGTGAACTTCATCTAGAACTACTACAACAACAACCTTCGCATATATTGTCATTAGTTTATCATGATTTCTGCCAATCTGCATGCTTTACATAATATCATACTCAGTATTTTTAAGATTAGATACTTTAAGTTTTTACGATTACTATATTAGATGCGCAATCGAGATGAGAAAAATTGCGTAAAGGTAGCATCTGTATATAATCTGTATACTGAAACTGTTTAGCTTTATTAGTGTAAAGTTACGCCATTTTTAAAAGTTGGGAACTTTGTACACCTCAGATTATCTGTTTGAAAATATTTGTAAGACATTTTACTTCGACATATTAGTACATATAAAAATTAAGACTACATATATTCGTCACTCTTATAAAAATATCAAGTTGCATATTCCAATATAGTACCTTTCATATAACTTGCTTACCGATTTTCAAATGTTATTATTATTATTTGGGTCGTCCGCTGGTCCTAACTGGACCGCTGCTGGGTACGGGCCTCGAGCTTGCGCTCCTTGCCCGGGCATAAGTTATAGGTTGAACTATATCGTCTAACCCTTATAGAGCGCCCTTATAGAGAACCCTTGTAGAGCATCATTGTCTAATGCTTTACTAACCCGACGAAAACTATCCAAAAAAAATATCACCGTTATTTTTAATCTGCCCGATATGTAATAAGTTTTGTGAATTTGATTATGGTATTTGAATTATGAAGTCATGGTCAGCAAACTTGTAAGTTAAAAATATGAAATTTTTCATGCTAGATGTAAAAAAAGTAAAAGTATCCCAAACAAATGCTTTGAGAATTTTATTTGTTTAACTTTTATGGTTTTTAATTGATTCTTATATGGTTTATTTCTTTAAATTCTATATTATATAGGTGTGTTAAGGGAGATAATATTCCAATGTAATATCAAGAAATAATATTACAGAATATTTTAATTTAGATAATAAAGCAACTGAATAAACAAAAGACATAGTTACTATAGAAAAAACATTGGTTGTAATCAGAGTCGTTATAAATCTTAACATGTAAGTTGAATTAGTTTTTGTATAATACTTTGTAGGCGAGACGATTTTATATTAAAATTTAATTAATTTTATTAGCTGATGAAAGTTAGTAAATTTGAATATATTTTAGAATATATATATCAAGGCTCTCGAATGACGTAAATATTGCGATATATTAGTAAAATCAATATTAGAAACTGAAATTATTAGTCATTTTTTATACTTCAATTTGACGAAAGGCTATAAAAAGTTCAATAATGATTTATCTAATAATAACTTATTACCAAATATACTTATGTAAGTGATTGTTCCAAAGGTTTTGACCTTCAGTTTACAAATATTTCAGTAACTATTCGGTCACGGACGATGCCTTGCATTGATTCACTTTTTTGTTCGCCTTCGCTAATAACTTTTTAAAATGTCGCTCTACTTTTAGCATCCGTTTGAGTTTTACTAATATTGCACGTCATTTTTAGAAAAAACAAACAACTGATATAGATATAATTAAATTATATTATAAGCAATATTAATGAAATAATTATTCAATAATAACTAGAAATAGGTACTATAATAGTACTCTATTATACAGAGTAAGTTCAGCGTCTTGTCAAAGACTATAATAATTATAGAGTAGCATCTTGCTCACCTTTTGTGACAGAAGCTTTTTATTTAAATTCAGGTACACATGTTTTGTCTCTATCCACGATAACTGTTTCTCATTCGCACGCGCCAGCGATGCGTGCGCAGGAGTCGATCGGATTTGAGTGAGTAGAGCAGTAAAGTCAGTAGGCGAAGTGACGCTGTCGTGATTGGTCGCTACGTTTTCGACGTCTCGCGTTTCAAATTTGTAATAGCCGCGATTGTGTTCAACGTTAACGAAACAATGACCTATAGTTTGGAAGTGTTTGCGTTATAAATAAATAGTTTCTATAGAACAATTTAGTTTAACGGTGGTAATGTTGTGTTGAAATATGTTAATACATCGAAATGGTTTTTTCGCTGAAGATGCAGCTGTCATCGTATCGAATGTAACTAGAGGATACTCAGTGCTTATAGCGCTTATGCTTATTGAAATAAATCTATTGTTTAAAATTAATGTTAAGTCAAAATATAATGTCTCTCTGTATATATTATAACCATGGAATGATTTTGTGAATTGACTTTAAGTTTAATGTTGTTGTTATAAAAATAATTTAATAATATGGTTAAATTTATAATAAAAGCATTAAATTCTGACCTGAAAATTGAATTACGAGGGGTCTCATGCACCAAGAAGGTTATTGCAAGCAGTTTGTGTTTGCGTGCACTACTCGTAAATGCCGTGAAAGTATTTCGGAACGTGGTCTTCGCGGTAAAGATATTTTAGCATAATAATATTCGAGACCTGAGCTTTCTATGTCTGTCTTCAGACTTGCTTACCATACGAGAATTACTAACGAGTAACTTCTATTTACCGCTGATGATCACTACATTTACTGGATCAAATGGAACTAGTTCACTAATTGAAACTAATTTGAATTGAATATTCGTTATTACTTCAGCATTATTCAAATTACCTACTACATTTTAGTGTATATTTTTAGTTTCATCTAAATATAAGGCTGTTTAGAAAGTTGTTCTGACTTTACTTTGATAATACATTGTATGTCTAACAATAAGGCACATAGGTGATTGTAATCTTATCGAGATATTAATACTACTTAAGTCAATTATTAAGGCCATCAGAGCATAGAAAGTCAGTATTTCTATATTGCATCTAGTTTATCTACGTTACGATCATGTTACAATATAAGAGTGCATAACATTGTTTGATGATTTAAATTCTAAAATCTATTCTTAGTTCTAGTTGGTCAGAGAATAAAAGTTGCTCTTTTGTGTATAGTTAATGTTTTTATATCAGCCAATCAAAATCTATTTATATGAATAAGCGTTCTTTACATGTCATGCTAGCAGCGAGTTGAATTGGAGAAATAAAGGCTCCTCCTTTGTGGATAACTGTTTCATTATTAATTTAAACACATTCACTAGATAGACACTATTTTATGCCAGAGAGCCTAGTAACACTTAGCCTATTAACAATTTTACATTTACATTGTTATACTGTCCTATCCTTAAATTACACCGACGCATACTACTAGTAAATTAAATAATTACGAAGTATATAAATTGATTTTTGAGTTGCTATATCAGGATAAAAAAAATAATTTTGTGTAAGTATTTTTTAACAAACAAGATATTGCCAAACCTTGAAACGATAGGTACTTATTTAAAAAACATATGTCAATAACTTTATAAATTCAATTAAATAAACTGTGATCCTACATATTTCAGCTACAGATTTACATTAGTTCATTATTATTAGATAGACAATAGAATTATTCATTATGTAGAAAATCAACAATTTTCTTCCGAGTCATAGAAATTATTTGTTTACTCGCTCTTTTGTTAATTGTAATCATTGATTTCTCATATGTTTCTGGATACAATTCTCACGTATCATCACTGACCAGTCGACTGCATATGTGGACCAATGAACTGGTTTTTACCCGTTCATTGCTTGGTGTCTAGAAATCGTTTCCTACTAACTTGATCATGCGTTTAATGATTGATTAAATTCATTAGTGCATTAAAATCTTATTTACGTACATATCACTATTGATACATTCGTACTTATTTATCAACACTTAAATAACGTTTTGATATTCGCAAAGAAGTGAAAAAGTATACAAGTGAAAGTGCATATATTACAATAACAACAATAAATTTTATAAGCTGACTTCTGTGGCAGATGCGAACGGCTTACACTCGCTCAGCCCCATTATCTAATTATTACGTAATGTGATTCCATTTGCATTAGTTTGATAGTCTCTCAAGATTACTGGCCACTTCCTTGTGCTATACCGTATTGCTCTAAAGGCTATCTTGGGCAATGTGTGTTTGTATCCAGTGGTGCATCTGCTCTTGTTGCGAAATGACCAGGTTTATGTATAAAAAATACAATCAAATATTTTGTGTAATAAATCTTATTATTAACCTCAAAATGTAGTGTTGCAAAATCATTCCATTGTTATACTATTTATAAACTACTATATATTTATTTAAAATTAGTAATTATTTAATACAGTTTTGATTATTTAGGTAAATATGGAACACAACGTTTATAATAATGAATCTCTAAAAAATAAGTGTGCAACATTATTAAGTTACTATTAAACTCTGCAATTAAATACATACTTACCCTATATTCGAAAAATGGATTCTAAATTATCATGTTTTCATCAATTTACTGCAAAATTACTTCATGACTCCAAAACAAAGATGATGATTATAATCAGAGCAAAATGAAACTTAAGCATTATCCAGGAAAAGCGGTCATGGAGGACCCTTGGCTTTCTATTAGTGACAGAACTATGGACCTAGTATATGCCGCAAATTGGGTTGGAGCTCGAAATCTCAGTACCTATAATGAAAGTGACAATGGCTCGAATAAATCAAAATATAATTCTATTTCTAGAAGTAAATCTTGGAGGGACGTGGGTCATACAAATGACAAAAGTTATGACACCAAGATATATTCTTCGCCAGACAATGCTTATAACTATGTTCATAATGTATCCAATGAAAACATATCTCAATTAGCAAAATACCAACAAAATATAGAAGAGAAGGCCAGAGCAAATAACAACCTCGTTGCACAAAATAAATTGAAACATAGTTATAGTTTCAAAGACATGCCAAATGGATATAAACCTTCAACACTGAGACGAGTTAAAAGAAGGAATTTTACGGAGTGGGATATTGAAGCATTTGGATCGCACGGAAGACAGCCTCCTATTCCACCACAGCGTAAAGATTCTCTTAAATATGCACATAGACAGAGAAAGGCAGATTCAAAGAAAAATAATTATCCATTACCTGATCCTGGGCCAGTACCAGCAGATCCCTCATCGGAATCTTATTATGAATATTATTCAAGAGTTAGTCAACAAAATAATGACACTGATAGTGATAAAATAAAACAATTGATAAAAGATCCAAAAAAAGATAAACCACAACATAATAGTGATACACATCATGAAAATGTAAGTAATTTTAGCAACGATAAAATGTATCAATTAATTAATACAATGGCAACTTTAGATTTGAGTCCGATGAAATCTAGATTAGGGAAACAAGATCTCCAAGTGGATTGCGAAGCGGAAGATTTAGGTCTGTACATGCGGCCCATTAATGAGTCATTATCTACATGCGAACAACTTCCTAATCACACTACACAAATTGCGAACGAACGAATTGCACGTATCGAAAATGTTAAGCCAAGTTTTCGTTCTAAATCTATGAGAGTTAAGAGCGAAGGAAGAGCCCCACTTCGAGCTTATCTTGACGTCGTTCAACCTGATAATAAGTCTCGCAATGGCGTTACTGTCACTCAACCAAAACGTAATCTGTCGCCGAGCGAACAGCTGACTATGATGGAGTACGGAATGTATAAAGGGCAAACTAAACAACTAGCTGTAGATCCAACAAGCAATGGATTTCACAATGTTGAATTGGGGAAAGAAAGTGAAAATCGGACTATAAATAGTAAACCAACTAAAATTAAACGCGAAAAATATGGAAAAATGTATAATACAGTGAGAGTAAAAAGTGAGGATAGGTATGACAGATTTAATGACATTTTGTCCTTTGGTGTTTCAAAAGAACGTGTAAATGAAGATCGTGTAATAAATAGTAATGGTGTTTTATCTAGAAGTGCTAAAAGTTCCTCTAGTGGTTCGGACTCAGACTTTTCCATACCACGTCCTAAATTAATAGTGCCTGTTCATACATACGGAATGAGGAAGAGAAGAACGGGAAATCTATGCCAACGTGATAGTAATGCTACAGAAGCTTCTCTAGATGCTGGTGTATTACTTGATGTTACGCGACTGGAGGAGGCTAGCGATAAAGAAATAGAAAAACAATTAAGAAATGAAGAATCAGGTAAATATTTCATATATTTTGTGCACTGAAGTTGCGTACTTTATCTTAATATAGGTTGTCATGGTTTAATTTTACACAATCTCGTGTATTCAGAGAAATTGATTGATGTACATATTTTATGAGAAAAAAGGTAGGTATCAACTGATATTATATATGAATTTCGACAATTCCAAGTAACCTATAGCTGCACCAGTATTTGTAAATTGGAATTTGATTTAGTTGTAGTATTTATTGTCTCCTAATACAACTAATAATAACAACAGCATCAGAAACATTTCTGTGAGGACGTACTTAGCGTACGTATATTTAAAACATTATATTCATACGCAAATTGGTTGCTTGTATATATTTCAAAATAACAACTCCATATAAGATATAGGCGAACAGATGCCAAGGCATCGTATTGAGTCACTTAGCAGTTGCTAAACACATCGAGACCGGCATATCAATTAAAGTTAGTTAGGTTTCGCCCTAGTTTCACATTAAATCATGCATGAATACGAGCAGTGGAGGACCGTAAATAACACAGCTTATTGTACAACAATTCTCTTGATAGTATTTTGCTAAATATGATTTAAAATTATTCTTAGTAATCGCCAGCTTTAACTTTAACATGTTCTCTAAATATTATTATTATATAGACTTCATTGAAAAATTCTTATTAGTACTTATTAGTACTTTTTCGCATGTCGTTAACAACACAATTTAATACTGTATTGTGTGTGATATGTATGTATTACTATGGGTTATTGTAGATGTAACATATAAGTTACGGGTATTCCACTACAAGTAAGGAACCCGAAAACTAGGACCAATTACAATTCTAACTAGGACGTCTAAATGTAACTTACCCCATGATGATGATGTTCTCAATTTATTTGTATATCATTAGTATATGTAGAAGGTTCTACTATTATATATTAACTAGCTACTCGACCCTGCTTCGCACGGGTGTATATGTATTATATATGTAAACCATCCTCTAGAATCACTCTATACATAGGAACAGACAGCGACAATGACTTTACTTTATAGATACTATGTAATGATGATATTTTTTATGTTATTAAGGTAATATAGAGGTTTCTCCACATATTTGGTCTACCATCTCCGTCTATTTCGGAAGGTTTATTTCAAAAAGTAGTTATTGTTGAGATGTTGAGTTGTGTTGTTGAGGAGATAGTGACAAAATTATCAGGATTTAAAGTGTAGTTTGGAAATAGTTGTAAGTTTTGCACAATATTGATAACTTAACAAAGTTTCACATGAAATATATGTTAAGCAATTTTTAAATTTCTAAATCTTGTGTTATAATTACATATTATATATCACACTATATTAATATTTCAATTAGGAATCTACATATTTCTCGTTTACCATAACTATAATACCACATGATAGAGTCTGTCCTCTGACGTCATGTTAAATATTACGTTGATTACGTGAAGCAATGTTGTGAACCTAGTTCCCAATTACGCATAGATTATCTCCAAAGGGAAGTCTCTTTAAGCCAAAAAAATATATGTATATATAATAAAATATTCCTTAAATAATTGGTTTTTCGTTTTAATATTGAAATCTTAGTTTGCGTAGTATACAGCAATATAAGTAGCTTTTATTGAGCAGAAAATGACATTATTTTAGTTACTGATTATCCTTCTTGTTATCAATGCTTGATAATGTAACGGATTTAAATGTTAAGCATGTAACTTTTAACGAAATAGAAGTAGAATTTTATAAAAATTACTATTTTATTATGTAATACTTTTTATATTCAATTAAATTTTATTCTAGCCTCAAGAAAGCATTTGGTTCTTCTTAATGTCAAGCGTACTTTTAATAACGAATACTTGAGTCATTAAAAAGGACGATATAAGCAATGTCTTACATTTATATTATTATTAGTTTTTACACACAATTTCGAGTAACCGGCGTATATTCAATGCCGCAACAAAGACTAAGTCCTTCATATAGAATACTATATTATGTTACAATATTTTGTAATAAGAAATGCCGAAGAGGCAATTAATTTTTTTACATAAAGTATACCTGAGAGAGTGATAAAACTTGTATCGTAAGATTTTACTATATAGATATATTTTTATCTAAACCTTTTTCCGTGAAAATGTGCATTTATCGCGGAAAGACATGGTAGAGCATACAATATTGCTGTCTCAACTATGAATATTGCTGAAAAGATTGTATTCCTGTAGTAATTTCAAATTATTTAGTTCTTCTAAAGTGTAGTTTACTTATTTATTTCAAGCTATTATTGAAATTGACTGTGTTGGTCACGGCACGGCTGCTGTGACATTCAGGCAATCTGTCACAGCAGCTGATATACCTCCTTCATGAAGGTGGGCATAATATTGGTGGTGACCCGGGCAACAAACGCCTTCAGTAAACTTCCAATCGAATGGCTTTTTTGACTAAAAACATATGTAGAACTCAAACAATGATATAACAATTTGCACATATACTGAGTTTGTTACTTAGATATCTATTGTTTGTGTTTCCAAACATTATTTTGGAGCATTGACGTATGCTTAAGCGTGCGTAAAATGAAATGATGATTTGATGAAGTATTATTGTATTTTATGGTACAAATATTTTTCTTACATTGACGTAGATGATTTAAAAATGAGCATATACATGACCTTCAATTTAACAACTGAAATGCTAAACAAGTTCATGAACCACCTGATATTAAGTGTTAACCCTAAACCGCATCCATTATGAAATCGCATTCTCATTCTGGAGGAATAAGATGTTGCTATGATATGCTTTCGTAAGTACCTACTATCTAGTATCACCATATCTTGATATCTCACCCTCCACGAAAACAGTTTGCAAAGTATCTGCTATGCGGCTGGCTTAAATGGGTATGACATAGGTACCCACGCAGACAAATTCAGTCAAAGTACATATAACCATTTTTATTAAGTTTCGCTGACTTTCTTAGTTGGTCCTACTTGAATAATTGCGTCTTGAATAAATGCGATTGGGTAAAACAACATTATGCGGGTTCATTCATATATATATATGTAGTAATAATATAAAGTAAAATAATACAACAATTTTTTAACGTAACTAAATATAATTATTTCTTCAGGGTTGGCGCATAAGTATCGTGCGAAGAAACATATGATCGTGAGAATAAAATACCTACCTCTTTGTTTGCAGCTTTGTAATCTTAATACAATATCTTTTTTTGATGATATATAGATTATATGTACAATTTTGTTAATGTCATCACCTTATAATATTAGTATTACAATAAAATAAACAAAGCAAGCATAAATTAAACACGAATGCTGTGCAAAATAAATATGTAAACATAGCTATGTCACACTTAAATGTCAAGAATTTGTTAAATTTAAGTCTTATAGGTTATAATTTTTTATAGATACTTAAATATATATATTTAGTATATGGATTTTAGAATGTTGCATTATTTTCACTATCGTATGCCCCGTAATAAAATTTAAAATTTCTATTACAGCATAAATTTACATATACAGGTTTCTATTTTACGTAATAACAAATATAATTTAAGTATTGAGCAATCATATATTATTACTTTTATTTTTTATTTTATTTTCATATTAATATTAACCCTCAATGTACCTATATATAACTACATGAATATTCATAGAAATTTATAGTTATAATTAAATATTCATAATTTATATATGATCTTAAAAATGAAAGTGTTACGATACATCTTGCTTCGTATAAGACTACAGGTGAAAGTTCAAATCGTGTTTTATTTTATAGACATAATATTAACTGGTTTTATATAACCTCTAGTTTTCTGTTTCATATTTGCAGTAATAAAACGTTATGAAACTGTGTTTTTAAGAGTTATTTCATAATAAATGTACCGATAATATCCATCATAAAATATTTTTTATATTTTTATTACTTTAAAGTTATTATTGGTCGATTATTTGTAATTATGAGTTATACTCATATATGTAAATAGAGGACATTTATAACTGATCTATCAAACCACATAAAATATAAAATGGCAAAGTGGAGTAGAGTTTTTTTACGGAAACATTCTAATGGTTGTCCTGAAACTCCCACGTGAACAGTACCCACTAAGGTTTAAGAATTTATATTTAATATATTAGATTAATTATTATTACTTACAATTATTTTAAAATTTTACAATTTTAAGAAAAGCTATATATAAATGGCATTTTACGTAAGAATGAAGTATAATACCTTTTAAAAAATAGCTTTTGTAGCATTCAGGCAAGCAATTTAGTAGTTAGTGATGATACGCTTAGTTTCATACAAATTGAGACAGATACCGTATCTCACTTATGCCTGTTGTAAGAATACAATAGATGATGTTGTTTCACAGAGAAGTAAAGAACTAAGAAAAATATATTAGTGGAAATGTATACGGTGCTACCAAATTATCTGCAGTACTAGCTAGAGGGTATAGGTAATTTTATTGCGATAATAATGGAATTTCATACTATTATATATTATTTTAAAAAATTAAAGAGCTGCTCTATTCGATTTGCTTTGCCATATCGAATACACTTAGAGACCTATAGTAATCATATTATTATATCAAAACTGATAGATAATTTTAATTATACATATTTTGTTGACACTGTATCATGAGTCATCAATGTCCGGCACGATGACTGTTTTGGCATTTAAAACCTTGAATGTGTGAAGTGTTTGTAAACGTTGTTTTCCGGAAAGATTTTATACGTATGTACGTAAATACATATGTATATCTTATAAAATGTAGTATAACGTTCATTGTTTGTGTTGTGGTTCAAAATATAAAATATCTCATTACTTGCATATTTACAATAGATGAATTGTTTCCTAAAATTGCATTTAGAAAATCGTTCCAATTTTTAATGCAATTCCAATTACGCTATGTTATCTGTATTCATTATTTGTAATAAAAAGTATCTAATTTGTTAATCTAAGTATGATCCATCTCATCCATCTAATTATTAATAATGAATGTACAAATATCTAAAACCATTCCGTAAATTTTCTAACAAACAGAAATTTGCTGTAACTTAAAACATTGGGTTTTCTGAAAATGAAAATGTAATATTAAACACTGCTTAATATTACGTTTTCATTAATATTATTTATAAAATAATATTAAAAACTGCATTTCTTTTTTTTTTAGAGGGCAGAGTGGAAGTATCAAGAGAGAACAAATACCTCAGTACGATGGCACCGGGCAAGGTGTTCGGTGAACTGGCCATCCTCTACAATTGCAAGAGAACAGCCACCATAAAAGCAGCAACCGATTGTCGGCTATGGGCCATTGAACGTCAATGCTTCCAGACCATTATGATGAGAACTGGACTTATACGACAGGCTGAATATACTGATTTCTTGAAGAGGTAAGTTTGTAATATAAAAACACAAACACACAAACCACAAACAAAAGTAGAGTCTTTGTTAGGATAGGACCAAAACAGGAAAAGAAACCGTCGATTAAATAATTAAAATCGGTTTGGTTCAGAATCAGTGTTGTTTTATACGAATTTATTGCTAATGATGCCAGCAAATAGAGTTGGAATTAGAAACTCCTTCTGAAGTCAATTGAAAATGTTTCGTTTTCATTCACGAATAGTTGAGCCTGTAATTAAATGCAATAATAATTATTAATATGAATTTTATAACAAATAAAATCTTTGTTACTTTATTAGTATATTTATTTTATTATTATATTTATTTTTTCATAACGAGTACAAGGATTTGACTAAAATTTCATTGTCTGATGGATTGTCATAGAAGTTAACGAGGTCAATACTGATAGCAGTGGCAATGGTGTCATTCTTACGAAACTCAACATTATGACTTGAACAGAGTGTTTTATAAATCCTCAAAATTAAGTCGAACATTTTGTTACAAAAATATATGTGACTCTCTAATTTATATAGCTCTAATTTGACATATAAAGCCTTGAGCAAAACTCAAAGTTCTTACGAGGAAACGTTAAGTTCTAATAATGTGATTGTTGATTTTATAGAATAATTACAAATAGGCTATAGTACTAATATACCATTAATCCTCAAGAATAAGAACATAGTCGCATGAGATATACTACGAGTTACTATGCCCATCACAGTGTATTTGTGTATTTTATAATGTCCGTGCCGTGCTTTACCTGACATAATAGGCGACGTTTTCCACTTTCCATAAAATGGGCCATCAAATGCTTTGCCTTTTTCTTAGTATTTGTATAAAAAAATAAACATCATAAATTTCTAAACAAATATGTATTTTACAAATTGCAATAAAATTAGAATGATTCTGAGTTTTCAAGCAATTTCAATGGATTAAAAAGAGCTACAATCATTTGTGGTTCTTTATTTAATAATAGGTAGCATTCATATAAAAAAAATGCGGAGTCACGATTTAGACTTACTATCTAAAAGTTCAATTCACTTGAAAGGCTGTCTGTATTTAGAATGAGTTATTCTAGCTTTCCTTCCTAATGAGACTTGACAAATTGTTTACGTTAATGCGGACAGTAACCTCATATCGCTCGGTGGTAATTTTACTAAATCTATTTTGACACTTTGATAGATATAAAACACGTGTCTTACTTGGACATATGGTGAATGTGTTTGTAATTATTACTATCTTATGTTGAATTTCAGTAAATCATTTATTTTAAAAATATATGTTGACATCATTAGGAGCACATTTATACTTTATTTTAGTTTCTCATAAAATAATGGTTATTTCCATAGGTACATACTTTTGTTTAATGTACTCTTATATATATATCTTTACTTTGATAATAATTATCAATACTAGTACCTATTAAAATGTTTATAATAGTATATTTGAATGTAAAAACACCAACGATTATAAAATAAATAGCAGTAAATCTTATGTTGATGTTCAAGTTTCAAAAAAAGGGTTCTATTTAAATATGCGTTTACAAGAACAAACTGCTTGTGAGTGCATTACCGATGACATAAAGGGATATTGACCTCCAAGACACTTATGCAAATGCAATGGGTAGGACAACGTTCCATTCTTCTGCTTTCGTCAGTATCGACATTTACATTTATTTATGGGCATTGTTATGAATAACGTCTGTAGGCATGATACACAATAATCGAAAAATCAAAGTTAATATTATACTTTACCTACTGGTTTTTAAAATGAATGTTCTCAAATTGACTTTGATTTGAAAAGATCTAATTGAAATTCAAAGCAATTGTCCCATCTAATGGTATTGTATAGCTATTAGTGTTAATTCAAGTAGAAATAATGTTTTGTGACAATAATAATCTACTGCATAGTTTATTACTCAAAATTAATAAAAGATACCTAATTATTGTGTAAAGATTTGTTGATTATATTCCTAGTGTATTAATATTTTAATTACGAATAGTAGTATAATCCTATCTACTAAAGTTCACTTAATCCAAGCTTTTACCAAAGGCGTTCTTCTAAAATCATATTTATAATTTCTTTCTTTTTCTTTTTTTTAAGTAGTTTCTTGTATGCAAATAAAAATGTAAGATGGTCAATAACTATGCTATTATAATTATGATGCAAGACATTTAACCAGCACAAGATCTGCGTATATCCTTGCGAAAATGCTATTGTCTATATTATTACCCAAGTCTAGTATGAGTATATGTTAAAATCTTAAATGTCTAGGTTCATTAATATTAAAATTATTTATCTATTTAGTAATTATTGCCATTTCGCAAAGTCGGCCACTAGATACAAGTATATTCTTACTTATGACTTGCGTTTTATTTAGGTGTTCAAGGTCTCATGGAAGTGCATGCATGCTTCATAGATTAATGTTCTGAGAATAAATACAAACCTCCCACCAAGCATTACATGATACTAAAGCGTTTTTTTATAAAATGTTTAACGAACTATAAAACAAAGGCATTGTTGACGAAATTTTGTCACTGCAGTTACCCAAGCACTCGTGCGCAATTTACGAAACAAGCGTCATGTTGCAGTCTCATGGCATTTCAATTGAAGTCCTTTCACCACTCCAACTCATAGGTTCTAGGAATACAGAATTCGATCTTGATAAAAGTTGACAATGTTAAGACTGTTTATTATAATGATACTTGTGTAGCTTCTTTAAAGATGTTCGTAATGGTAATAAAAAATTTATCACTTTTATATACAAGTTTCTTAAAAATTCTCATGTTTATGCATATTTCTGAATTTAAGTTATATATTACTGTATTATAATTTACATTTGTTTCTTTTTAAATTATCAAATTCAACTAATTAGATCTCTAATATTGTTTAAAATTGTATTAAATTTACGATAAACCCACATTACAACTATATAATTTTAATTGGAAGTTTATAAAATAGTGTAGTTTCAAGTAGTGTATGTATGTACTCTTTAATCCTCAGAAGAGGCATAAAGAAGACATGACTAGTTCTAAAAGTTACATTAAATGACGATTGCCGATTTTACATTGTCAGTAGTCCAAAAATGATTTTGTTTGAATATTTTAAAATACAACAATAGGAATACTTGATTTAAATATAATGATTTTAAATAAAATAAACATTAAATAGTATCTATTTTTTAATTCATGGATATAGTCATGAACTGTGGTCAATTCTAAAATGAATACTTTTGTGTCTTGCGTTTTCCTCCTAATTACCTCGACATACTTTGACTAGTTACGGAGTAATACATAATGAATGACTGTTGTAGCTATAGAATTAAAATAAAGAATATCTGATAGTTAACCATCACAAATACATACTATTTAAAGTTCTTTATGTAATAATCATCGTTTACAATACAATGGCGGAGTCATAGTCATAGACTTTTGAAACTTTCAATACTCTATTTGAATAATGGATATTTTATTACAAAATAAAACATTTAAATTAATATTATCATATGATATCGTTTTTATCGATCGAATCTACTAAAGTTTATCAAATTTATATTAAGGTAGTTTTATAATAGCTACTATTAATTTCGATTTAGTACTGTTACTTTATAACTATATACTTACATATATACGTATTTTGTTTTTATTGCAAAATACTTTAAGCATCACGTATCCAAGTTGAACCAAAGGAGTACGTGAGCGCTTAAAACAATTTTTAGAACGTGTTATTCTTAACACAATTGTTAGAATTTTATATTGCGTAAAACTAATGCAATGGTGGATTTAGTGATTATTTTATTTTATTTTTAAGGAAAATTTAAAACATCCTTCGAACCTTGTTTTCAGTTTTAATACTTGCGTTTTATGGAATACGAATTCTTGTTTTTATTTAGGTAATGCATTTGTTTCTCAATGGACCAAAAATGTTTAATTATTAATAATTTTATTTTCGTGATTTCATTGTTTTCCTTTTTATATATATGCTGATAACGTATTTATGAAATTATTCTATAAGATCAAGAAAGATATGCATCACTAAAATAAAAATTCATAATTATCACATGTTTTCTAATTTGCTTTGCCGACATTTTTATTTCTTCTTAGGTACTATGCTTTATTTTGACAGATATATATATTATTCATGATGTTATAAAATTTTGATTATACTAATTAAATATAAAATCGAATTCCAATTGGCCAAATCTTATTTGCATATCTCCAGTCTAAAAGTTTGCAGAATATAGTATATGCACAGCATGGACGTTTAGTCAATGTATGCCTAGTTTACATTTAAATAAAATGATAGGAGAGTTTAGCCCTGAAGTAGTGTCATGTATACAATCACGAACGCACCACCGTGAATTTGCTGATTCATTTCATCATAAAACAAGCTCCACAACTCAGGATCACGATGCGTCTCCGAGAGCTAATAACTGATAGCGTTTACGCAACGTCAGCGTTGGATATTCGCGGCGTCTAAGCTGTGTGTGTGTTCGACGAACGCCTACGTTGGAGAAACACTAGTCTGAAAATAATCGTATAAATAACCGGATACTTTTATTATTCGACTAAGAATAACAAAGACACAGAGCCGACTTATTATGACAAAATAATTATTAGTATTGTTGTGTAAATTTACACCTTACAACCCTACTTCATCGCATTCCTCTTTAATATTTCAACTCCCATTTACGATATAAAAGGTTTTTTAACGGATTTAAATTTTGGAGATTCCGATATACAAACCGATTATAAATTTTTTTATCGAAAGGATTTTTCTTAAGTATTGTCTTATTTAAATGTAATATTAGTATATAAAGTGAAAAGACTTATTTTTTTTTTCAACAGTGTGCCGATCTTTAAAGACCTACCCGAAGATACGCTTATCAAAATATCTGACGTTTTGGAAGAGACGCACTATCAGAACGGTGACTACATTATCAGGCAAGGAGCGCGTGGTGACACATTCTTCATTATTTCTAAGGGACAGGTAAGTGTTTTAATATATCCGGTTTATTTTTGTTCGGCGGCCATACGTCTGGCGAGCCTGTACCGGTTTCAATCCTGGTTTTATTTACAATTCGTTACGGGTTTCGAAGTCTTCATTATTGATACAAATATAGACACAATAATTTATAGTTGTATTTATTTTATTTCAAATTACTGCATTGAATGTCAAGTTACACTTACGACATAATGGTATTTATTTTTTACTAATGTTAAGTTCTTTTTCTATTTCATCATTGCAATTTCAGTAACATGCATATAGCATGTTGCATTTGTAATTTTCAAAGAATATAAATATATCAATATTTGAATTAACTAGTATACTAATAAACAAACGAGTTTTTAGTTAAGTTTTAAAATGTGTATATTTGTCTAATGTTGACATAACAATAATCAACCATAACTAATAAGATACGAGAATTGTAATATTTTAGTCCAAGCGATGTGTCACTATTGTTTTTATTCTATTTCTATAAATACGTTATGTTTTCGTTGACCTATTCTTCGCTTTACTTATAAAAAAGCTGTTATTTAATGTATTCAGTTTTTATCGAGTCCCTTTTTTATATTTTAAGACGTGTATTGCTACCGTTCATAAGAGCGTATAAATTTCTTTTAGCCAGCCTATAAAATGTATTATGCTGGTAATCCAATGCAGAATCACTTAACTTTTCTCTATAATGACAGTTGTCTTTTAAAGACTGCAGTATATATTCAATCATCAATTTGTAACTGTAATCTATCTACATGGAACGTTGTAATCAGTTTTGATGACATTGTGTTGAATAGAAATTCATTTCATCTTTTCTGTGAAGATTGTCTAACGAGAGTCAACAATTTCACTTTCATTCTGCGGTACAACTTTCGAGACGTTCGCACAATCTATGAACTACGTGCCTTACTCGTACACGAGCATACCATGTTTATAAACATAGGATTTGAACCATAATGGTAATCCAATCCATTTCAAATAAACACAACTTCGCTTTCAATCTGAACAAATATGATGACATAACAATTGGATCTCTTATTTCATCATACAAAATTAACAACGAAAGTTTCTTATTTACATTCAATTTTTAATATATTAACTTTCGAAACAAATTTGAGACGGTTCTCAGAATTAATATTAATATAGTCGCAACAGTTCCTTTATTATCCATTTAAATTCATGTGAAAATGTATAATACTGATCGCGTCAGACATGGGTGACTGTGTAAGAGGTTCACCTTGGCATTTGTGTAGCTTATAATTCTGCAAAGCAAAAATGTTACTAACTGACCAATAAATAGAGAAGGAATTACGAATATACAGTTTAACCACTTTACAGATTAATAATTATTTTTAGATACTGTAGTTTGTAACTTTCCAAATGTGATATAGCCTGTGCTAGAGTTTATTCAGAAACTATTCTATGTGACTGCTTATGTTTTAATGTTTGGTCTGTTTAAAGACTGTTAAGGCCAAACGCCGCGCTATTGTGCTGCAAGGTCAGCGCACTGATCGCTGGCGAGAGGGACGTATGGTATTTTGAGGCCAGATTTTTGTATGCCTTTGTGGGAATTATCTACTCCTAATAAATAGGTGGAACATTCTTCGTTGAATATTTTGAGCGCCTGTAGTCCAAAGAGAATAAAACGGGATCTACACTATGTACACTAGTTAATATAGTTTTTTAATATCGTCGTTGAATTAATTGTAATTCACATTACTAGACACATTAAAATTATTAGACCTCTAGTATTACAAAAGGTAATACTTTGGGGGTCTAATAATTGTAGTGCTTAATGTTACCTATGAATTTCTTTTTGATACCCTAACCCATCTTGTACATTTAACAAAAAAAAATTGTCTACAATATGCAAGTAACGTAAAATATCTTGTACATGACCTAAATTATTTAGTTTGAAGTAACAATTGTAATTTGTATTAATAGCTAATTTAACCAAATTCTATGAGAGAATATATTTCGCGAGATCATTGTTCTTAATTATGAAATAGAAATAATACTGACATTAGGAGCTTTAATAGTGAAGCAATGTCATTCTTACGAGATGCAGCCAATGACTTAATCATTGCATCAATAACTAGAATATTTCAGCAATCTGCCAATCTATTTATCGCCAACTTAATAATAAATGGTTTACATCATAAAAAATAGTACTATTAGGTATTGCATACAAAAAAAAGGCAATAATAATTACATTTATTGACAAAACACTGTTTACAAATCAGATAAATGATTAACGGGTTATTAATATAGCTATACCTTGCGTGTCAATAGTCAGATCCTTCATAAATATCTTTAATTTTATTCATTAGGTTTTATAAGACAAAAATATATAATTGAACAAAATATTCTAAAAATAGAAAGAAACAAAACTGTCTTCTATAAGATACTAATATGTAGGATACTAAATAAAACATACATATAATAGACTTACTTCAGTAACAAGTAGCAGAAATAGCGTTTCACTATTGAGTGTCTTTATCCATAAAAATTATCAAAACGGGAAAATTTTCCATCAATAACGAGAGAAAGTGCAAAATGTCGCTGTCACGGCGGTAAACATAGATTAAATTAAATACTAGATAGAAACCACATAATTAAATCTGATGATTATGATTTTTGCTAAGTGTAAATAAGACGATCTTGTCAAATAACCATTGGAGCGGAAAGTAGGTTCCCGTTTATTTTTCTTTTGAAACTGTCCGGTTTGTTTGGCCAGACGGTTGTTACTTCAAACGGTGTTATCTCATTTCCGTTGTTATCGCATTGCCTCCAAGCTTTTTTTGCTCTCATTGCTCAATGTTTAATTTACACTTTACCGGAAAATTATTATTAGGTGTTTGAAAAAGAAATTTTATGAATAAATCCATGTCATTAAAAAGTATATAAAATGCATAGTTATTTATTCTTTTTTAGTGCATTTCGATATCGATTCGTATCGATTCGTGTATTGTATGTTATAGAGTAAAGTCTCTTAAAATATTTGTTTTTAGGATTCGCGTCATATACCTATTACGTTATGCTAGTTTTGTAATGTTGTACATCCGGATTTTAATGACAACTTTCGATATTGACGCCGGTTTTCTATGGATAATTATCTTGGTCAAACCTGTTTCCCACCAGGTTCTAGTTTACCCATACAAACCGTATGCATTACATCTATATGACCCATATTAAATATATCGTAATTTTGATCTCCTAACTTATAACGTCATCATGTTTCTTATTATCTCAAAAGAATGCATATAACTTTCTATTAGGTGTCACAGCTAAACAACTTGTTCTTCAAAAATAGAATTTGGGTTAAAAATAGCACGCCGGTTGTTCGTGGATATTATAGCATGAAGTTATCGAAAATTTCACGCAGTCGAGATCACTAGTAGTTGTATACGTGATGAATCTCGATCAAAACATATTCTCATATTCACATTAATCTAAAATTAGGTCAAATTAAATGTAACTGGCATACTACTTACTCTTTAGTTTAGTCCCTTTTTTACTACCTGTTTTCCTATTTTAAAAGAGAACTATGTTTTGTCGCTTTAATAGATAAAATTAATATTGAGGGGTTAGTTACAGTTTTGTGAATAGGTTATAGAAAGGGTTGAAAGTTATTTATTTTCTCTATTTTGATTAAATACAAGAATTGCATTTTAGAATGTTTACGAATAAACAAGCAAACTTATTTGATTTATTGGGTGAAATTTATCTTGTTGTTTTATAAACAAATAAAATACAGGCCCATAAGAATGAGAATCTATTTATACCTGAATAAAGTATCTTTATTCCACGAGTTATTAATAGTATTCGTGCTTTTTGTTCATTTCAGGTAAAAGTGACCCAGAAGCAACCGAACAGTAACGATGAGAAATTCATTAGAACACTAACGAAAGGTGATTTCTTCGGAGAAAAAGCGTTGCAAGGGTACGTGCTAATATTGATTGGTGTCATTATTATAAGTTTACTAGACATACATGTTTGATAATAAAATCGTAGTGATTTTATTTTAAGAATAGAGCAACCAACTCTGTATCCATGCTTTATTAATCGTTGTGTTTCGAATTCGTTTTAGATCTATCAGAATAAATGTTAACCAATCATACATTTATTATCCAATCTCTAATATAGTTCAATAAATACAATTAATAAAAAGAAAAATGTATAGTCCTCTTAAAATTTCAATAATATTAATAATATTTTCATTTAGTAACAAGGCAGTTATTTTCTATACTAAAAATGAGTAATTTATAAAACATATCTTCCTATTATACTCGTATTTTATTGCAATTTATTCTTGCAATATATTAAACTGATATCTTTAAATATTTTGTAATATTCATATTTGCCGATAATCGCTTAATTACGTCGTTGTGAAGTTCAACCCTTGAGCAAAATTTCATGATCGTAGAAACGATATAAGCTCTCACTTCCGAGATCAATCAGTCATCATTTTATTTTTTTAATAATAATAGAAAGAGATGAGCGTAGAAAAGATGAATGGACTATGTGAATGAAATGCATAAAAGGAGAGTGGTAGTACCTTAGTACGATTGCCTTTGCGACAAGAGCAATATTTTTCATTGCATTCCGTCTAATTTTCAGGGATGATCTTCGGACAGCAAATATCATCTGTGACTCACCAGAAGGATGCACGTGCCTCGTCATCGATCGGGAGACATTCAACCAACTCATATCGACTCTAGACGAAATTCGTACCAAGTATAAAGACGAAGGCGAAAGTAGACAAAGGTAAGAATTTATCTGCATTTTACTAGTTTCAGCAAGAATAATCAGCGTTAAGGTCAGTAGATCTATTCTCCGGATCTATATCTTAAAATAACGGCTGACCTCTATGCCACAGCAAAGACAAGTCGCACAAATAACATAAGTGGAACCAGTTTAAGAAAATTTTTCTAAATTAGTTCCGATCTCTATTTTTACATTGAACATAGTGAAGCAATTTTAACAAGGCTGTTATTGTGTGATACTTAATAGCATGCTGTATCTCTTTCTTTTCTATTTTTTTAGCAGCTTGCAGTTTTTTATTAACAACGAATTAATAAAATGAATGATATGATAAATGAAAATGATTTTTTTTATAAATATTTAGTTAAAATGTTATTTGGAAATTAGTATTATATTATTATACATTAAATGAACAAAAAGCAGATTTTCAATATTAAACTCACAGACGAATCAGTTAATGAATGTCACTTTTTTAAATTTACTATAAATTGAATTAGTTAGATACTTTGTAGTTCTTTCCTGAATAACAGCTGTGGTTTAATATCTGCTTTATGAGTTACTATAAATTGTAATAGTAAATAATTACAATTGTATTATACTTACAATTAGAAATAATTACCAATAAGAATAAATTCCGAATTAAAATTACAAGAGATGACTTTGGAGACATTACAAAAGGAGTGCTAAAGAACAACAATTATGGCAGTAACATGATTTGTACAGTAATATAATGACTCATGTTTGCAACGAATGTCCTCGTATCAATCGATGACTTCACTGCATGCAAGCTTCCTATGTCAAGTTCTTACAAAACATCAAAGCCAGCCTTTGACTTAGCTCACAATGGATTTAAGACTTCATGCCAGTGCATTTAATCTATTGTGTTGCTATTAGTCTTTTTTACTTAGAACAATAGTCAATTTCGGTGTACTTAATCACAAAATCATAATGAAAATGTGACTTTGTATCAATGTTCATAATTCTTATTTTTTTTTCGTGCAATCAATTATGAGGATATTGTTCCAATATGGTAAGTAGTAGATGTTGAGTAAATTTTTCATTACTTTCTTCGAGAAACTTGCTGTCAATGTCAAATAGTTTTAATAACTAGTTATTAACTTTCCTCGTTGGCATAGAAAATTTAAATTAAAACGAGCCATTGTAAGATATGATTGGATTCCCGCGTTTTTGTACAAATATAGGTAACTATAGTTGCAACTCGAACAATAGATATAGCAGTGAGACTGCATCGATTTGATATCAACGAAGACATCGCATAATTTACACTATTGTAATTTTGATATAAAGACATTGACTGATAATTCACTCACAATGACTATATTTATAAAAACATTTGTTTACTTGAATACATTTTTTTGTATCCAAGTAGGTTAATGTCTCTTATTCATAAAAACGAAAAGGCCAGTGGAACTGTAAAGGACAAATACGGTCAACAGCTATAGAATAGTTTGAAGTAAATTAAATATTAAAGAAATATTTATTGTCATTACAGATTAAACGAAGAATTCGCCAATTTACGTCTGTCAGATCTCCGTATCATAGCAACTCTCGGTATAGGTGGCTTCGGGAGAGTGGAACTGGTACAAATACAAGGAGATCCGAGTCGATCATTTGCATTGAAGCAAATGAAGAAAGCCCAGATCGTTGAGACGAGACAGCAGCAACACATAATGTCCGAAAAGGAAATAATGTCAGAAATGAACTGCGAATTTATTGTGAAGCTGTTTAAAACCTTCAAAGACCGCAAGTACTTGTATATGCTGATGGAAACTTGTCTCGGAGGAGAGTTATGGACTATTTTAAGAGATAGAGGTAATTTTATTATAATATTAAATCATCCCATAATGAACACTTCATGTAATTTATCATGTCGGGTTTTAATTTATATAAGAATAAAGAATCCTCTAATAAAACATCTACACATGTTTTTAACGTTAAACAAATATTTAATTTCAGGTCAATTTGACGATGCAACGACAAGATTCTATACTGCTTGCGTAGTAGAAGCCTTCCATTATCTACATTCTAGAAATATTATTTACAGGTAATAATTAACAGACTTAAATACATAGATAGATTATTAATTAGGTAGAGAGGGAGAGATAATTATTAATTAGATACGACATTAATCCCCAAATTATTGATACAAAAATGCTGGGAGAAAAATATTTACTGGGATAATGAACTTCCAAAAGACATTGAAAGAGGAGTCCATGACTGGTCACAGAATATAGATATCCTGGAACAATGTATTATAGAATACCAAGACGTTTAAGTCAAAGTTTAATTGAAATTAGTGACAATACACTACATATATTCTGTGATGTCAAACCTCTAGTCAATCCGAAGATTGCAGGTTTGTGTCCTGTCACGGTCGCCAATATGTGGACGGCTCGTTTTAGGAAAGGAAAAAAGCTGAACAGAAAATATTGTTTATTGCAAAATTTCTAAATTATATAATAATTACACATAAAAATAAGACATTCTCTCTTTTCAAAAAATGACATAGAAAAAAGAATTGTACATAAAACCTCAACAGATAGATTATCCAAGAATATATATAAGAATTTTTATTTGTATCTTAGTACACAGATACAGGTTTGATAACAAACAGTATAATTGCAGGATATTTAAATCAATACAATTGAATATGAGTAAATCTGCATGTGTGCCACAGCAATACAAAATAATAAAGCACAAGTGTGGAATCACTCAAGTAGTAAAACAAGGAGTATCAGCTATGTCCGCGAGGGGGAATGAACTATTATAAAAATCTAAATGATAATAATAGAAAATAAATGACTATAGATAAAAGAAAATATATTATTATTTCTTTCATAGACTACAGAGTACATAGTGTATAGATAATCCGAAGACATATGACGACAGATAAAAATACGACTTGTATAAGAAGAGGCCTAAAGGATTTTGAGTTTCTGTTTGAATCGAATTAATGAAACTATTCCATCAGCATGCGTTTAGTCATTGACAATTATTGTTTTTCTAACAAATTTAATCACTCATATTTTTGTTAGGCAAGTCACTCCTTTATTGTATCTTTCACACATTGTTAACTTAATGATAATGGATTATCATGATAATGGACTGATGTAGTGTAACATCAAATTTTAAATAGTTACATTTAGCATTAGATACGAGTTGCTGGATGACAAATGTGTGATTAAGGTTAGGTTATGGACGTTAAGGGTAGTTCTTAAAAGTTAATTATGTAATGTTGTATATGAAAGTTATCATATCTGCCTATAAATATACCGAATAATATGTTACAATATTTTATTTTAGTATAACAACTTCATGATTTAATTCTAATCGTATTTAGAAACTATACCTACTCACAGACGAAGACTATCGGGCAATATTTTTAACTATTTTTCATTGTTTTTATCGGGTATGGTAGACTAGACTAGGTAAATCGACTTTTCATAATGTCGTCTGAGTCACCCACTCAGCTTGCGTTTTTAAATGTGATATAATGAGTGACGACCTCGGTGGTCTAGCGGTGTAGCACACCGCTTTACGACCGATGGTCGCGGGTTCGATTCCTCGCACGGCACAAACATTTGTATTCATGAGTATGATTGTTTGTATCGGTCTGGGTGTTTTCTATGTATAATATGTATGTATTTACAAAAAAAAATATCTGTGTATTTGTATCAGTTGTCTAGTACCCATAACACAAGCTTTAGGTAGCCTAATTTGGGTCTAGATGACGCTGTGTGAAATTTCAGGGATCTCAAACCAGAAAATTTACTATTAGACTCCAAAGGCTACGTGAAATTAGTCGATTTCGGTTTCTCCAAAAAGCTACAGGCGAGCCGTAAGACTTGGACGTTCTGCGGTACTCCTGAATACGTTGCACCCGAAGTTATCATGAACCGAGGTCACGATATCAGCGCCGACTATTGGTCGCTAGGTAAGTTCCTACTTTAAAATGCTTAAATCTTTTTTATATAGGAGGACAATAAGTTATGGTGCACTTGCCAGCACTAACGCTGTGCGAGCACCAGTGGAGGATGATAAAATGAGCAGTAGGTCAGGTCAGTTGGCCTATATATATGTCGTGATAAATTCACTAGAAATTTAACATGATGGTTTCCAGGGGGATTCGCGTGAGGTCAACCTGACTTGGTACATTGCTAACAATTTTGACTTTACTAACAATCCCCCCCCCCCCCCCCCCAACGCTTGGTATTTTAAGGACGCTACTAAAATACTTTTTATGGAAGAACATAACACAACAAATTCACTAGGAATTTAACACGATGCTTTCCAGAGGTCTCTGTCATAGTAAGTATATTGGTTGTAATGGTGCACTAGTTCTCATTACTAACAGTGCCCTTCGGTGACTCCTGCCGTCAGAGAACTCATGAACTCTTGTAGGATCTTTTGGCCTCTTGAACATATGAACAAGAACTTCATTTGTCAAATAATTCCGCGGGAGAATTGAAATTGCCACAACTTGATTCTTATAATCAACAAATACTATACGGATAGCTAGGATTTAAATGTTATTATTACGCCACAAATGTGTAGTAAACACGTGAAAATTATAATTATATATGTATAAAAAATATATATACAAAAAACGATTACTGTATGGACTGAGGTCTACATATTAAATAAATACTAGTCCATAAAATTCGATTAATTTTCAATTATAAAACAAAATAGATACAAGAACAATGAGGTGATGAAGTCTTATTTTTATGAGAAATTATAATAGCTCTAAACCTATGTGTTACAGGTGTGCTTATGTTCGAATTACTCACTGGGTCACCACCCTTCACTGGAGCGGACCCAATGAAGATCTACAACAAGATTCTAAAGGGTATAGATGCGGTGGAGTTCCCGCGATCTATAACTAGAAACGCAGCCAACCTCATAAAGAAACTCTGCCGCGACAACCCTGCCGAACGACTTGGCTACCAGAGAGGAGGCATCACTGAGATACAGAAACACAAGTGAGTACAAATTTAAATTCACAATCCTAAAAATTATGAATTGCTGTACACATTATATAAATGATATGAAACATGATAATATTATTTAGGATATAGATATAATTTTTATTAAAAAAATAAAAACCTTAAATACCTTAACCCAAATCATTTTAAAAGCAACTGTTGTAATGTATAGGAACCACTGATACTATGGTTTTACTCCTTATTTATAATAATGTCACACATGTAATAGATCCTCTTTAGTTAATGCATTGTTGTCGTGTTCATTACATCTGCTTTCATAATTTAAAAGAAAAAGAGTTTATAGGAAATTTTAAATTTTATTCATTAAGAGATTACAGTTTAGTAGTTATTTACAAATGTTAATTTTCTATTTAAATTTTTAATTAATAGAAAATACAATAACTAGCACGAAAGGTGGTCTTATTGCTAAACGATCTCTTGGAGACAACCTTGAGGTCGAAGCAAAATATATGAGAAAGAGATAGGTGGTGGACATAACAACACAATCTATTTTCTTTCCAGATGGTTCGATGGTTTCAACTGGGAGGGTCTCGCGCAGCGCACCTTGGACCCACCAATCACGCCGGTCGTGAAGTCCGCAGTTGACACGCATAACTTCGACCAATACCCGCCCGATGCCGATGAACCGCCACCCGACGACCTCTCTGGATGGGATGCCACATTTTAAACAAAAACCACAATATTTCAATTTTCAAATTTGCCAGCAAAATTCTATAATATATAAAACATTAGACTTAATTATACAGTAAATAAATTGCGCCTTTAATTGTTCATTGATGATCTAACAATATATAATATATAGGAACACTACAGCCATTGGTATATGCTATGCACGATAAAATATGTCATTCAGTTGATAGGGCCCATTATATTAGTCAACTCAACTCAGGAAATCGACCTAACAGATTTGCTCCTCAGCAGTGGGTAGCACTACCTGTATTGTATAATGTAACACATGAGCTAAACTTGGGTATACGGTTGGACTAAAAATTGGTAAGTGTAGATAAAATGCACAATCACAAACAACAAACATATCGATCCAAATTATTGGGGGTCATATCGTATTGTACGCCGATACTTTTATTAATATTTATCATAGAGAAAGATTGAAAAGATTATTGTTAAATATGCCCCGAGTCTTATGTCATGAATGCAAAGATACATATTTGTAGATTAATTACACTGCATATGACGATTACATAGAATCACCCTCGAAAAATACACTCCAACTAGCTGATATTGGTGTTACGTTTAATAATTTTTTATATTAAAAAAGTGGCGATACATCGTGCCATCTATATTTTGTTTTTTTCAGTTGGCTTTCCTACTAAAACTATAAAGTTACTATTCGAATAACGTGCTGTTAATGGCAATAAACTAATAAATTTATTGAGTACATACTTTTATGTTAAATCATAATATTCTACTACATTAGCAAATAATTCACAGATCTTAATTCTATATACTTTTAAATAGGCTTGCCATTAAATATGAACTTAAATTGTAAATATTATGTGATAGCGTATCATTATTCCAAATTTCGAGTCTTCATAATGTATTTAAAATGTCAATGTCAACTATAATATATTAATTACTAATCATTCTTTAAATTATTACCATTAATAGAAATTCATTTATAAAAATAAATAATCTACTGCAGTTGTGGTTAATTGTAAATGGACATTATACGAACATTTTAAATAAAATTTGTATGTAATGAATGCATTTTGTTTCTCATAATTGAAAGTGCAATTTTATTATTATCATTTATAATTGTATTTCCTCTTTTGCTGTTCTGTGGTTCGGCCTTAACATCCAAGGTACTTTATTGGCATTTTTGCCATCGTACAAGCCCAAGTTTTATATTAATTTACTAGTTATTTATTGTACAGGTTATTAAAATAATGTTACCACATTTATCTCCACATTTAAAAAAATGTATTATATAATAAAATTTCTTGCGTATCCAGTAATCTAAGAACTTATTTGTACAATGTTTACTTACATAAATTTTAAGATTATTGCAGAACGCAGTCCCTAATAGTCATTTGCCTGAATGAATTACCTATTGCCATTATACCTAATAGAATAATAATAAATTTAATCCAATGATTATAATAATAAACTATTATAAAAATGTATTACGTTATTCGTGTTGAAACGAAATATACCTTAATTTGTTTTAATCAATATGTAATATGAATTTTATTCTTTGATAATTTTTATTTAAATATTTTATATTTATTAAAATTTATTTTTGTTTGGTTAAGTCATATAATACCTGCTTCAGTAATGGGGATTGCGTTATTTGCGCTATATAAAAATGCCAATATATTAAGTTGTGATAAAAATGTTATATTCTTTTACTATATCATCATGGTGCTCAAACATTTATACATTTGGTAAATGCATTATCATAAAAATAGAGCCTTTATTAATAATTAGTTATATTGTAAATTAAATAATCTATATGTGTAATTAAAGTTTACGAAATCCACTAACTGTTTTATAAGATTCTACTGATCGTTTAGTTTGTCATGTACTAAATATTGTAACGGTAGCTATCTCCAAAACATGACATAATTTAAGACTTGTCATTATTGTATAACATCAGCATATAAAATAGTCATATAAATTAAGTATTCATTGATTTCTTTCATTGTAAATAGTCAATTCGAAATATTTTCATTCAAAATACTTAATATTTTGAATTCAGCTAGGAAATGTTATAATAAGTTATCGTAAAGGCAAAACATGTAATGTATGTGAATGTAATTATGAATATGTTTAATAGTTGATATAGGGATAGTTATTTTTGTAATCATAGGTTTAATAATAATGAAATTAATATTCTATTGATACTGAAAAGTGTAAAATACACGTTATTTCAATTATACAATGTTTTTTTTTTACTTCAAATAGCATAACAAATATATTTGTTATTACTAATATGAAATTTTCTCCTACACTCCGGAAGAAGTAAAAGGGACAAATGTCAGGAGCGTAAAGCGCGTAAGCGTCAATTACGTGGATTCATGAACACCTGTGGCTTTGACAAAATCGTTGTCTTGTTCTAAAAACAATGACTTGAATCATGTTAACATCGAAAAAAGCAGACTTGCAATCCTTTTAACATCTGATCAATCCTGACCCTTTTACCACGGGGCGGAAACGGCAACGAATCACGAAGACTATGAAATTCTTGTTTTACTTAGCGTAGCTACTGTAGCGTTTAAACGAAGGAAGATATTACTGTAACGAGGTTTAAACCGAACTGGACTGTGCACACAATATCGTGGTTCCGTTTTAAAGATAGTAGTATATCACTATCTTAAACTATCTAAACCACTATAACGATATGTAACAAATAAATTGCCTTTCCTTCATCCAATTATTTGGAGTCGGCGTAGTATGTTATCTTCTTCCAGTGATCCTAACTATTAAATATTTATAATGAAAAATAATAAAAACTATATTAATAAATTACTTATACGTATAATAAAGACTAACATTACACTTTAATCTTACCTTTAATTACCGTCACAAACTAAGATGATACTAAGTAGTACATCGCTTTTTCGATAGATGTCGCTGAGAGCATTCTACAAAGTTTTCTACAACGCGATATAAATATTTTTTTACATTCTATGACCTCCTTGGACCGGCCATTCGTCAGTATCGCTTCTCGGCCTTTTGGCTAAGATCAAAGTGTAGTATCTGTTCTTTTCAGCTTAATATCTGAAAGTTCCCTCACTGAGGGACCAGTATATTAAACTGATTTTTGTAAATCGACGGGATGTTCGGGGCTCGCTCCACTCCCGTCACGGGTCGGCCCGGCATTGCAGTGCCGCCGGGATTGGCCCATATAAATCTTAAAATCTACTGTTCATGTTACAACTTGTCTACAAATAATTTTTCAAGGGTATAGCTTTGACTATATATATGAAAATGTATATATAGTCAAAGCTATTTAAATACTATATAGAATTCTCTCCGATACGGCATGAGAAAAAATTGGTCATGCAGACAAATTTCTTAAAATTTGTTACGCATAGTCAGTAGGCCTGAAAATCGGCTACTATCTCTTTTTCATACCTCTAAATCAGTTATCCATCTCTTACATTTTCTACAATACTTTCATATTTATTTCTACATTATAAACAAACTCTTAAATTTTCACCCTTCTGTCACCTATCTTTAATACCGATATTTGTACTTCATTTTTATGGCTAAATAACGTTTGCCGGGACTGCCAGTTATTTATAATTTCAACTAAAAATATTATTTAAATAGCTTTTACAATTCTTTTGATTAACAATAGAACTCTAAAAGTAACGAATGGTGCTGCACAAGTCCGAACAAGACTTTCACCAATCTTTTTCACATACCTCTAGCTAAACCCCTTTTTTCTTACAGAGCCAGTCATTAAGATAAGCAATAAAGTACTTAAACTAGGTTAAGAAAATATTAAAGCTTAAAATAGAATTAAATTGATACATATTCTAAAAAAATATTTATGTTCATCCATATAGCATCAATAAACATACGATTTATAACTGAACGTCGAATACATTCCGGTCCGGACGTCCGTCATGCTCGCTGCGATATCGCCGGATTAACTTAAATATAGAGAGTATTCTAATATAGTAGTATTGGTTACTTAGTTATATTATGTTATATAGCTAAAACATGTCTAGATTTCTTATAATGATAATGCTACTGATGTATAGCAGCATATCCTTACTAATATTATAAACGCGAAAGTAACTATGTCTGTCACATTTTCACGCCAAAACTACTGAACCAATTTAAATGAAATTTGGTACACAGATAGTCTTGACCCTGCAAAGGACATATGCTACTTCTTAATGAGAAAAAGGGTTGTATAGGATTGAAAGAGGAGATGAAAGTATGGTGTACTGTGTATATTTGTATAATAATCATTTCACATCATTGCCTCTTTTCATGACAACTGGAATAAAAGATTAAAATTAAAATCTTATAAAAGATTGTATGAAGGTGTCATTATTTTTAAAGCTAGAAGCTTAAAACATATTTAAGGCTGTTAATTAAATATAAATAAAGATAAAAAGTTGAACACGCTAATCTCAGGAAAATTCAATTTGAACAAAACAACAAAATTCAATTTTAGTGTTGGATAGCCCATTTATCGAGGAAGACTATTTTATAAAGTCACGGAGCAAATTTATTCCTTTTTAGAGTTTCCTCTCTTGTCTTGTCTCAAATATACGTTTGTACTCGTACCTATAAATCATATTACTATTACTGCTAAACCTGTAAAGTGTGAAAGAGTAACAAACTCACTTTTCCATTTATAATATTAGTTAGTGTATCTCATAGCATAACTGGACCAAACGTCCGCTGCAACTCGATCTGGATATCCGGTGAGCTGCCTTGCTATAACCTGTGTTACAACTAACTTTGTTACCCTCGGCATAAGTTGTACCAATATATGCAGCTGTATTAGGTACATTATAAAAATTAATAGACAATTAGCTACATTGAACTCTAGAAATTTTTAGATATAGCAAATATTTATACAATTAGCCATATCCCGCGACATCACTTCACGTCTACTTAAGAACTGTTCAGCAATTTAGTCATGACATATGAAACAAGTAAACAGCTTTCACTTTTACAATATTATGGATGGCGATCAAAATGTACTTACAAAGGCCATTTCATTTATTTCAAT